CCGGTCTCCCTGCCCCGCCCCGCGGCTGGTAGTGTTGATGGGTGTGGGTCAGAGACTTGGAACCTTCAGAGGGCTGCCGCATCCCGGTCCGGTCAGGGGAAGATGGGTAGCGTGACGCCCCATAACGCCTTCATCTCAATCCAGACTTAGTCGTGCGGGTGGCTCTTGGCCTATGCCTTTCTAGTGGTGGCCTTGTGGTACTCTGGGTGGGGGTGCTTTGGCTTGCATTGCCTGTAACTGGTGATAGTGACACGGAGAGTACTGGTAAAGGTTGGTCTCAATGTGCTACTTACTGACACAAACTTAATGTCATTATAGCTAAGTGCACTATGTAAAATTTTATTTTTTTTTTACTACTGTTCTGAATAGTGATTTAGGATCCTGCTGACTATGCCAATTTGTCACAAAATTAGTGATTTAGAAAGGAAAGAATCCCATTAGCTGAAGGAACCGCCATCAAAGGTATTAGCAAAAGTGGTTTTAATATAATGTAAAAGTGCAGCTTAACAAAGTTCAGTGGCAAGGTTGGCTCAATTGGAAGAAACATACAAAGGAAAATCGAGTTAACACTCGAGTTAGAATGATTCACAGAGAGACCAGGAATGCAAATGGGTAAGGAGGACTTTCCTGTTGAGTCATGAGGTTTAGAGTAGACCCCCTTGCTTTCTAAACTCCTGATGGAGCTTAGGTGTGGCTACGTCCAATCTTAGTCTCAGACTTGGACAATGGTCTATGTCTATATATGCAGAATTTATCAATTCAGCATGCAATCAAATTACTGAGGCGTTACCATACTACAAGGTTATGTGCAATATTGGTCGCTTACCAAGATCTGCCATCGGTAAAATGTCTCTCTGCTTCAAGGAGAAACCTTGAGAGGTGTCCAGACTCAAAGGGAGATTACTGCCATACAGCCACACTGCCTAGCAGGAAGAGCTCAAAGGCAGCTCGCTTAGGCTGTCATATTTATAGGATAAATATGGTTGGCTTGTAGTCAAATTACATACAATAGGAAAGGTATGCATGAGGCTCCTTGTACCCACAACTTTCTTTGTTCCTTGATAAATGAGTCTTGGAAAAGCCACCCACTATTCATGTGCCAATCTCATGATCGGTGTTCCAAGCTCATGGGCATCAATGCATTCTGTGCCACTCCGCTCCTTTGCGGATTCTCAGAGAACAGGTCAGAACCAGAGGAGTGCTTGGCCTGGCCATGGCTCAGGCTTTTTACCTCCTTTGGAGCCTGTACCAAACTACTGCTAGTTTGGTTAAGAGGTTGAGTGCATCCATTGTAACTACTAAATCCAAGTAGTAAAATTCTGATTTAAGTCTGAATGCTGTTAATATGTTTAAAAGTTACAAACAATGTGTTTTTATGGTTAAAGCAGCTTGTTTGTGTTGGCATGTTGGCCTGTATTTTCTGAAAGCTAGATTAAGAACCCCAACAACCTCTTCCAGCGTCATGTTTTTAAGTTTCACAGTTACATGTTAATTGAGTTAACCTTCAGTGTTATATATACATGATGTTTGGTTAAGACTATTTCATTCACTTCTAGATAGAAAACTATTCAGAAGAATACTGAAATAGAAAATCTAATTATCTTCAAAGAAAAAAATAAATATGAACCTGTGTACAGTCTGTCCATGACTATGAAGAATCAGATATTGCTTGATATAAGATCAGTAATAGACAGTGGACTTGTAACTGAAATATTTAGTCAAAATAGCCCTGTTAGTTCAGAAAACTTCAATCTGGAAACTGCAGTAATTAATAATCCCATTGAAGAAGGATTGCTGTCTGGTCAAGACAATCATTTATGCACTGTAAATGTGGGAGAGACTTTGTTAGATCACTTCAAGTATCCGCTTACCATTGAAAATCAAAATACAATAATTGAAGTACATCCGCATGGAAACAACAGCTGTGATGATGAAGGTCTTGAAAAATACAAGGAATTAAATCTTCCAGAAGAAGCTGAGCATATGCATTCACCTTATCTGCCTTCAAATGGTGTCCACTTCCTTTCTTCTGTAGCAATGCAGCATAAAAATTGCAGTTTTCCAACTTCAAGCATTTTCTCTCCAGAAGGAACAGTCAATCAAAATGTCAGAATACCAGTAAGATTAAGTGAAATAGTAATTTTTATATACTTATGCTTATTTGTGACTTAAATGTGGGGAATTGCCACATTAAAACTTATATGGGATCCACATAATGTTTAAAATTATGACATAAATTTCATACTAGAACAAACTTAGTAGTAAATAGAGAAATAAGTGTTTTATATTACCAGAAATAGCATGCAGTGTGAACATAAGGTTCTGACTGCTGTTCTTTTTTGTCTGTGTTGAGCCATATTTTTAAATGGCTGAATAGTTTTTTTGCTCATAAAAAATCCTTACCATCTCAAAAATATACCCACTTTGGTTTTATATATTACCATCTGCATTAGCAAGTATTAGATAATTGTACAAATAGGATATTAACTTTTGTTCTTTAGTTCCACAGGTGACACACTTGTCATCTTAAAATTTATAGTCTGAATGAGTTAAAACCTAACTTATGTGCAGCAGTAAACCGTAGCTGTATTGTTAAATCTCCATGGAGAAAGAAGTTTTGTAAGAGATAAGGGTTTCCCGTTGTTTTGCAGTTTTTCTGTATAGCTTGAAGTTGCATTTTCTGTGTTGGATCACTTACTATCTAGAAAGGTACACAGCATAGAATTTTCCGGGATGCCCACAGGACCGAATCCATCTGCTTAATGCAGGCTCATGTAGAATACTTATGGATCCTTATACATGTTTGTTTATGGCTGTAGGATATCTGAAGAAGTCTCCAAATTTTAAGTTTGCACTGTGGCTGCTTGTAGAGGGACATGGAGGTTTCCTCTGGGAAGCTATCTTGAAATAGGAAACCTCCTACCACAGAAGCCATTGCTGACACTACCCAGCCCAGCGTGTTTCCCAGTGGCATTTCATCCTGACATGCTTGGGGTCTGCCATGCCAGTCACCTCACATGTTTTGGTTTTCGAAAGTATCTCTGGCTTGGAAGGTTGTTTACGTACGTGCTCAATATTATCTGTAGTTCTTTAATAATTGACACCTTCAATCTTTTGAACTGTTAATAAGATTCAAAAGACTGGTGGAAGCCTCTAGAAAATAAAGATGTGATTAAGGCATAACAGTTGTTTTCTTGAAAATCAAGTTGAAAATAATGAAAATTTGTTAGTCTCTGTACAAGGAGCTAAAAATGAGATCTTTCTGACCAGCTTACTTCCTAGTATCCTTACAGTTTATCACATTAAATCTGCATGTTTCCTTAATCTGCCCTGTTTCTTGAAGGTATTAGAACAAAATTCTAACCAGGTTATAAATCATTTTATTGAAATAAAGCAAGCTGATTTGTTGCTTCTACGCTGCTTGCTTATCCTCCTAAACTGCTGTCTATATTAAGAGGAAGCACATCATACAAGAGAGCAAATTGTCTGGTTTGAACAATCTCAATTCTAATTTGAAACTAGAAAGTGGTTGGTTTCTGTCTTTGTTGCATTTTCTGTTCATTTGGTTTGTTTTTGGAAATACAAATGTAGGTATTAAGTATGATGCTCTTTAGTTCTAAATGCATTAGGTCTGAACTGTAACTATATGTTGACCAGAAAAAGAAATAATATTCAAAGTTTATAACAGTATCTGGTAATGCTGAGTAGGCTGCCGCATTTATATGCTTAATTATGTCATGAAAATGTAGATAACTTCCAGTTGTCAAGGTCAATTTAAGTCAGTTTGTTTATTCATTTGGCTTTTAAAAATGAATCATTTAATGCATAAAATAGAAATAAAGCATTCTTTTCTTCAGGTGTTCAGATCATTCATACCTCCAGTTTCAGGTAAGAATAAATGTATTTTTTATGATCAATTTAAAGGACGCCAGAACAGTACTATGCAGTTATAAAACTTGACCAATTGCTTAAATGGTAAGTGCCCCGAGTGATTGAGAGGGATTTTAATTTTTTTTTTTATCTTATAAGCTTAGGGAAGTATTTAAATAGCTAAATAAATAAATTTCTGGATTTGGCAAATTGCAGTATGAGCCTTTTCTGGTAATGTTAATATGACTAAGAATGTTTGAAAAGAGAACGGACCCCCATTCATGTATGTTCATGTTGCTTCAACCACATAGTTCAGTCTTATTTCTGATTTTCCCTTCCTCTCATAACACCTCCCCATTCCTTCAGGGGACTGTGATGAAGATATTCCTTCTTGCAGCACTTTTTTTTTACTTTTTTTTTTTTATTGAGTTGAAAAATGTTTTTATTTCACTTTGAAGTTTGACCACTTGTTATGAAAGTTAGGTGGTTTGCACTGATGCTACTGCTGACAGTAAGCTCGTGAGCAGTTGTTTGATGTGTTCTGCCCATAACCTCTTCACAATCCGGCTCAGGGTTAAACTGACTGCTAGATTTGATCTTACCAGGTAGTTTATCCCAAAGCTAAATGAATTTTACCAAATGGGCACAATGAACATTTTGAAGACATCAGAAAGACTCAAACTGAAGTTTGTTTTTTCCAGCAAGTCTGTTACAAAAGAATATTAAATCATAGAATCATAGAATGTTTTGGGTTGGAAGGGACCCCTAGAGGTCACCCAGCCCAACCCCCCTGCAGGAGCAGGGACACCGCTAACCAGATCAGGTTGCTCACAGCCCCGTCCAACCTGGCCTGGAATGTTCCCAGGGATGGGGCCTCCACCACCTCTCTGGGCAACCCCTGCCAGGGTTTCACCACCCTCATTGGAAAGAATTTCTTCCTTATCTATTTCTTTCACAAGAATGTAATGCTGTAGTGACATCAAAATCTCTTTTATTGATGCTGTAAAGGAGTTCTTGGTATAAAACACTGATCTTTTTGCACACAAAACATGCTTTATTTTATGTACTAGAATCTTCCAGTGATATCTGTGGCTTACCTCAGACTAGTGCTTCTGTCTATGATGAAATAGTAAGTATGCATGCAAGATTTTATTATTATTGGAAGAATCTGTCTGAGTGTTGAATGTCTAAAATGGGATTTATTCTAAGTGCCAGAGGGTAAAAGGTTCTTTCAAACACTGCCCTATCTATCTGCTCACAAAATAGAGGGAAAGGAAAATGTTGCTCTGTAGGTATCCTACACTGCTACGTTGTGGAGGAAGGAAGAACAGCATCTGGATTTTTCAGCGGTTTCTGTTCCTATTGGCTCAAGTCTAGTTGGCTCCTGTCTGCCACTTGCACATTCTGGTTCCAGTTCAGGCCAGTTAGGGAGGGGGCTTCTCCTAAGACCACCTGAACACAAACTGCCCAGTGGGACTCTGCCAAATACCTTTGGGCAGCTGTTTAGCATTTGAGCCTTTATCACATGTGTGGTGTATATAAAGGAACAGAGCTGAGGATGAAAAATCTGGCTTTAACATTAGCATTCCCTGCCTATGGAGAGATGTTAATTATTCTTTGAATATGATTGAATTTTTCAAACATAGTTTCCTAGATATGTGCAAGACAAACTATAGAAATTCAGGTATTTCATGAAAAGGAGATGGCTGAAATTAGTGGAATTTTGTAGCCAGGTTTTTCAAGGTTGTCCATTCAGTGCTTTAAAGTGTGTACTGAGAGGGGCAAGGCTTCATCTGCAAGTGTGACTTTTGTGAAGATGACACTGTAATCATAGAATCATAGAATCACTTTGGTTGGAAAAGACCTTTAAGATCGAGTCCAACCTTTAACCTAACCCTGCCATCCCACCACTAAACCATGTCACCATGTAATAAGTTAATGGATCAGCAAGATAGGTGATAAATTGGTTTTCCACAAATGCAAGTAGCACCACATCTATGATGGAACGCCATGACATGCAGTAGCTGATCACCATAACAAAAGTTAATTTTGCAACAATCTGATTTATAGGTATAACTCAATTTGCAGTCCAGTCTCAGATGGCTACTTCTTACCTAGACTAAATCCCAGTGATCCCCCGTCAAGTTACATAATTCAAGATTAATTCTTGTTTTGCATAATTTGCTGTGACTATCACCTAACTTCTCCAAGGTGGAAGAAATCGATGCTTTATGATTTTGGAGACACTGAACGCTGTTGTTACGGTGAAGTATGCTACTGTTCGTTGTTATTCTTCAGGAATATTTTTGCTTCAAATATAAGCAAAAATAATTCTGCCATTGACAAGTAAATTATCTATTTTCACTATTATATTGCCGTGCTTTAAAATATATGATCTATGCAGATAATTTTTTTAATTTATTGTATTTGCTTGGAATTTAAAGGAGATTTTAAAGCATGCCTGTTAAGATTTAAAACTTTCTATTTCAGGCTGAGGTAAGAGAGGCAGTTAGTAATGTTACCGAGAATCACCAAGACAGAGCAATTTTTCAGAGTTCAAATGTTGACGAGTCTGGCTGCAAGTTATTAGCATTGCACAGTGTAGCGGAGGATTCCAAATGTTCATGCAGAAATGATTCCAACCCTGTGGTAATTATAATCTGTAACTGTTAGCAAAATTATATGCTAGAGAAAATGAACTTATTTGTACCATGCTAGCATCAAGAAGTCCCCTTAGTAAGTGCTGTATCAAGAATAATAAAGCAATCCTTTCCTCGGACTCACAGTCTAAATTTTATCTAGTTATAGTACTACTTTTTATATATATATACATACATATATATAAAACCATTATTTTCTGCTTAACAGCTGGAAACAACAACAACAAAAAAAGTTTGAAGATTACTTCATCTGAAGGAAAAGTCTTGATTTAAAATCACAGCTAAATAAATGAAATGAAACATGAACAATTACAATGGCATGTTCTGGTTAGGGAACTGAATCTGAAGCCAGCACGCTAGTAAATAGCTAGAATACGCTCTACAAAACCCCATGGAGCAATTTAGAGAGACCAGGAATCCATATCACCTAGGCTGAGGAGCTACAGTGTTAGATCTCAATAGCTGCTTCCAAGAATAAATTAAAATTAAGGGTCAAAAAGCAAACAATGCATAATGATCCATTTGTTTGAGAGATTCCAGTCTGTGATTATCAAGCTTTATAAGACAGGTGGTACTCTTATGAAAACCTTTATATTTATATGCTTAGAATTATGGTTTCTTAGATGAAAGCTAATCATTAGTTTTTCATTCCTTTCAGGTTATCTGCCAGTTGGAAGGAGGTACTCAAATACTCTGTATAAACAGTTGTGACACACAAGAACTAAAACCAGTTCATCTAATTCCCGAGTATCATGACCAACATAATTATCTTCAATCGGGTACAAAAAAAATGAATATTATCTCTGTCAAATAGTATGTCATAGATTATTAATGTGCGACTGCATGTGTTTATGTTCTTAAGCAGCAACAGTGGGAGATAAGACAAAGCTAATGTAGCTATCACCAGTTATTATTTTACTTTATTTTATAACTGAAACATTTCTAGGCGCTTCAGTGTAATAGGAATGATGTACTGGATATGTTGAATTCATTGAAAGTTTTTAATCTAGATTATTTTCCATATAAAGCACATATAGCATGAGCACCTGCATACCTTTGCATTTACCCTAGCTTGCCACTGAGCGTCACTGTTTCTCAATAAATGAAGAGCACCGTTGAGCGCTATGGGTGTACTTTGGTCTTGGGATTCAGAATGTCTCATTTACATAATTATGTGAACTTGAAGTGCCATCAGTTTCTAAAGATTTCTGAGGTCCTAAAGTTAATGCTGTTTAGATGGAGTAACACATTTTCATCAGAGCAGCAATCATGTATTTGAGCGTAGTTTAGTTTTAATTTAAATAAATATTTCTTTACCTAAATATAGCTTCCTCAAAAACATTATTAACAAGGTTTATTTCTTTCTTTATTATTATTATTTTATTACAGTGGTGCATTTTGATGGCAATACGAAAACAAAGCCTTTCAATATTAGGCACTATACAAGCGCAGATTTTGCTCTCAGTATTAATAGGTGCTGAGTGTGAACATCTCTCAGTAAATGCTCCAGGTATGGAGCCTGTTTAC